TAGATAACTATATTACTAGAGCTTACTACTAGATGATTATTATAGATTAATTTAATAGCTAGGTTACTATCTAATTACTTAAATATAGGCACTAAATAATACTACTTATTAAGCTCTTTATTAAAGAAGAAGAGTATGCAGGTATTAAGGTATAAATTATCTATACTAATAATAGAGGAGAATTTATTAAGAAAGAGAATTAAGTATAGGCTAGGGCTAAATTAATTAAATAGGAACTTATAGTACTATATGCTTATAGTTAGAATCTAGTTATAGAATATCTTATATATACTATTCTAATAAAGGTTTATACTATTATTAATAATAAAACTATTCTATATAAACTCTAGGGTGAAATTATAAAGGAAGTTATTTTAATTAAGAATATCTTACCTATTTAAGGTAAGAATATAACTCTATATAAAATATACTTTAGTAAATATCTAGATATCAGCTCTCTATGGATCTTAGGTTTAGTTAGATATCTTACTATTACTAATAAAATCAAATCTAAGCAGGGTGTTATAAAGATTAATCTATATACTATTTACTACTATTTAGTTAGCTATACTAGCCTAGGTAAGTAATATATTATTTAGATACTAGTAACTAATAAAGTTAAATATACCTATAATATTATTTTTAAAGAAGGAAGTAATCTAGATCTCTATAGTAATCTAAATAATAATTATAGTAAATTTATTAATCTACTAGCTATTCCACCTACTGACTATAATCTAAATAAGGTTATTAGTAATRATAATTTAGATTAAGATATTATTAAAGGCTAGGATCTAACTATATCTAATCTACCTAGATCAGAGGACAGCATCCCTATACTATAAATATATATAGAGGTAGGTCCTAGTATTACTAAGGATATTAACTTCCTATATAGAGGCCTTTTTAGTAAGCTAGTAGAAGATCTTCTAGAATATTCCTAGCTAGAAGTAATTTAGCTTATAGAATAGGGGGTGCATTATATTAATACTAAGGCTATAGAAAGATATATATAGAATTATATTATTATTAGATATATATATATTAATAATAATTATACTAATATTATTAAGTCTTCTTCCTTCTATAAGGTAATTAACTCTCCTGAAGTAGATAATTAGTAGAATACTATAAAAGTAGAAGTAGATAATCTTATTAAGTAAAGTATCTAGATACTTAAGGCTCTATCTACTAGCTATAAGGCTATTAAGGGGTATTAGGTTTATAAGATTAAGATTAGTACTAATAATAAGATTATCTAATTTAAGGTAAGATAGGTTACTAAAGGCTATACCTAGATACCTAGAGTAGACTTTAACTAGATATTTTTATCTATTATAAAGCTGGCTACTATCTGCCTATTCTTTATGCTTATAGCTATCTTAGGTTATTATTATATTAAGGTAAATATTAAGCTTATGTTCTTATAGGGTAAATTCTTTAATAGTAAAGTCATCTATATAAAATAGCTATAAGATTTTAATAATAAGTCTAGCTATATATACTAACTATTACTTTCTTTATATAGATTAAAGTAATCTATATAGGCCTGGTATCTTATCTTCTATAGCAGAGTTACTAAGATTAGATTATAGCTATCTAAGATTAATAAATACCTCTTCTTTAATATCTATAGTGTGCTCCTTATCTTATATATTAATAATATAGAGATTACTAGACCCTCTAAGTAGATTACTAAGGGGGTATATAAGGCTATTAATAAGCTATTTAATATTTTATTTATCAGCCTAGCTACCTATTATCTAGGCATAAAGATAGACCTAGATATTAAGAAAAGATAGGTTAAGCTATCTTAATATACTTACCTTTAATATCTTATTAATATATTTAATCTATATTTAGTTAAAACTATAGTAATACCTATAGAAGAAGGTGCTTAGCTAGTTAAATTAGATAAGCCTATTAGATATGATCTTAAACTTAAAGAGAGATATAGAGTAGGAGTTAGCTTAGTTATATATCTAATATTATAGACTAGGCTAGATACTACCTTTACTATTAGGAAGCTAGTTAGATATACTATAAATCCTAATAAATTATATCTTAAGCATCTTATTTATCTTATTTAATTCTTCTATTAGACCCTAGATATTAGAATTATCTATAAGCCTTATAATATAAAAGATATTATATATAAGCTAGGTATTATTATTAGCTATATTAATATAGATTATATAGGATATATTAATATATACTATTTAACTACTAGATATATCTTTATATTTAGTAATAGGCCTATCTTATAGGCTTCTAAGCTATAATTAGTTATCTCTTTATCTATATATAAGGCTAAATATATTACTATTATTTATACTATAAAGGAAGCTATCTAGCTTACCTATCTCCTTAAAGATATTAGCTTTAATAGTGTACACCCCATGTAGATTAATACTAATAGCTAGCCTACTATAGATCTAGCTTATAATACTTAATTCTATGCTTATAGCAAGCATATTAATATTAATTATTATTAGATTAGAGATATAATAATTAAGAAGCAGGTCTTCCTACAGCATCTTTTAATAGATAAGATAATTATAGATCTTATAATAAAGCTACTTAGTTATCTAAAGTTTAATTAATTCTTTAAGGTACTAGGCTTAGCCTAGTAGAGTGCTATAAATAGCAGATCTTAATACTATAATTATAGATTAACTACCTAATTAGGAAGTAGCTACAACCTCATTAATTAAATCTAGGGGTGTATGGCTATACTTGGTATGGCAGAGATCTAATTATATGATCTTACTTAGTAGATAGCTCCTTCCACTGTATAATAGTAAACATAGATTTACATACATAATGAATTAATGAAAAAATCTTCATATTCTGAACCTCTCTCTCTGCTCATTCCACAATTAATACTATTCGATCAATATCCCTACTATATGAGAATTCGATATTAATACTATTCGATTGATATCCCTACTATATGAGAATTCGATATTAATACTATTCGATCGATATCCTTACTATATGAGAATTTGATTCAATATTGAT